CCTCCATACACAGGTGACTCCAATTATGAGAAGTGGTATTTAAGGGAGGCAATTGTAAGTTTTTCTCCTCTTTGCATCTTCTCTGAAAAGTGGCAGCATGAGAGTCTCAAAACAACTTTCAAATGAGCTGAAAACAAAGATTGTTCACCGTCATGGTTTAGGGGAAGGAAGCAGAAAGCTATCTCAGAGATTTCAGCTTTCAGTCTCCACTGTGAGAAACATTGTGAGAAAATGGAAGACCACAGGCACAGTTCAAGTGTAGGCTCCAAGTGGCAGACAAAGACAAATCTGGAATAAACAGAAGTGAAGGATGTTGAGAACAGTCAGAGTCAACCCACAGACCAGCACCAAAGACCTACAACATCATCATGGAGTCACTGTGCATCGTTCAACTATTTGGTGCACTTTACACAAGGAGAAGCTGTATGTGAGAGCGATGCAGAGGAAGCCTTTACTTCGCCCACATCCTGAAGCTGTGCTGGGACTGGATCTTCCAACAAGACAACCACCCTAAACCTGCTCAAAATCTACCAAGGCATTCATGCAGAGGAACAAGTATGTTCTAGAATGGCCATCTCAGTCCTCAGACCTGGATATTATTGAAAATCTGTGGTGTCACTTAAAGACAGCTGTCCATGCTCAGAAACCATCAAACCTGAATGAACTAGAGATGTTTTGTAAAGAAGARTGGTCTAAAATACCTTCAGCCACAATCCAGACTCTCATTAGAAGCTGTAGAAAAAGTGCAAAACCAGAGTTGTGGAGGTTGACAGTTCTCTTCCTGATGCCTTAATGGCTGATTTTTTAAATATTTTGTCACATTATGAAGCAATGTTACATAATGTCCACGCCTTTATTCAAGAGCAAATAATCTTCTTTGTGAAATATAAAAAAGTTAGAGATTACACTGAAGCTCAGATGGATGAACAGAAAGAAGAGACAAATGAAGATTTACTGGGGTCACAATGTGCTGTTAGAGCACATGTTCAGCCTGAAGAAACACACCCTAAAGACTCATTATAATGACAACTCTTCACCTTACGTGTTCTACTGCAGAGTTCAAGCTTCCCAGTGTTATCACAGAGGTGAAAGAATGTTCAAAAGGAATATAAATAATCCCATCAGCAATAAATGGAGAAAGATGACGTGACAGCTGAGAGAAAGGTTTCTGCCTGATAACGCGTCCATAAAGGAGGTGATGGCACTGATTGATTTCTAAACTTAAAACAAAATGTGAAAAAATGTGTGTTTGGTAGATTATTTCTTTGTTTTAACAGTGTTTCTTGGCAATAAATCTTATACCTGATTGGCAACACCTGGGATACAGAAGCTCAAAACATGAGTCAACAGCAACAGCAAAAATAAGCTGTTAAAAAGAGAAGATTTAGCAGATTTTCCATGTTTGCCACCCACATATTCAGCTCTACTGCTCATCCCTCAAATGCATGTTCCTTACAAATGTGGCACCATTTAAAAGGGAATTTAACAGGCTTTCCAACGGTATAAGATTTATTGCCAAGAAGCATTGTTACAACCAAGAAATAATCTACCAAACACTAATTTCCTTACTTTTTGAGCTGAGTATAAAACTGACTCTACAAA